TCTACAATCTGGTGCGTGTACAACTCAACTCAAATCATCGTATTTGCATCAACTCAATTCAACTTGACGCTACGACATCTCGCGTTATATCGCTGGCAATAGTGGTCTCCGACATCACCCTCTCAAACGAACCCGAACAATATTCGCTACAATCTCGACTAATTGAATAAATATCCTCTAAACATTTTATTAAGTTTATTTCCTTCAATCTTTACTGAACTTCGGTCTCGAACACTATGAACACACACGAACAAACACTATGAGCTTAATAAAGCCTTAAATAAAATTTCATGCAACGAATAAGTTTTAAATTTAGAAAAGATCCTGAAAATTTTAAAACAGACCTCCGTATACAGTGCCAAACTGTCCGGAACCAAGGATTTCATCGATGAAAATTTGATAATTTTGTGAAAAATCCTCCTCATCCCGTAACTGTATACCTAATTGACCCATTCCATCTGAAATATAAGGATCATTAAATTGTTGTGGACTAGAAAGCATATGCAATCAATATCAAAAGTAATATGAAATTAAATGTGATATGAAATTTGAATAATACACAATACACTTAATTTAACTCAGAAGTTATGTATAGATAGCAAGAGGGAGAATGGTGGTAAAGAGAGGGGATTTGAATAAATTTAGGTGTTGGGAAATTTTATAGAACAACCAGTGGGAGTGGCAATGTGAAACTGATGTGTGATAGCGTCTAATATAATTTCGAAGAATAATCTTTAGTAGAACTGTTGAATTGTTGTGGATTTTGGGGCTTTTGCTGGTGACCACTGTCCGTAGTGTTAGGCTCTTGCGCACAAACTGCACTTGTTTGTGGTGTAATCGGCATTAAGGCTTGTTTAATAGCTGCAACCCAAGCGGCCAACACATCGGTACCTTCGGCATGAGTGTTTGTTGTTGGATCACCAGCTGAGAAAAATAATGTTGTGTCATTTGCATAGTAAATTAGGTAAAAGCGATTTTTCTCGGTAATTATATCAACTTTATTGTGCTAATTTCATTTTGACAACTTAAAATGGATTTAAATCTCCCGTCACATCCCACTTTAAATTTAAAAAAGTAGAAGTTCTTGCCCATCTTAAACAAAAACTTCTATTTTGGAATTGAAATCGAATTTCAGATGAGCTCTCAAATTATTTGAAAATATATGATGGAGATATGGTCTGGCAAACAGAATGTAAAGGGTGTTCAACCTCTGTAAAAATCCTCAGTACGAAGGAAAACTAAGCACGTTTAGATGTTTTATCTGTATTTTGTTTCGTTCTCAAATACAAACCTTTCATTTTCAACAATTTCAAAATTTGAATGAAAACATTTACATATTGAGGAATTATTTTAAAAGTGACGCAATTAAAATCAAGAACCGTTCTAAGATGGATGATTTCAGTTGAAATCTTCATCAAAATCAATCATTTTATCTTATCACAAAACAATCTTGCATTGTCGAAGTCCAATAATTCGATTTCATAAAAAGTAGTTTGAGGCAAGTGAAAGAGAAAGTTATCAATATTCTTGGAAGGATTCATTTCACTTATCAGATGTTTTACAGGAACAGTTTGTTTATTAATATAGATAGTACTGTAAAACACGAGCAAATCATCGAATTCACTCATTCTCTTAAATCGCTCTCTAGAAATACACGTTATAAAGCACAGTATGACACACCTCAACAACGAAATAATTCGAACCTGGAATTCTTAAATGTTCAAAAACTTTTTGCGCCACCGTTGTGTGTCTGTACCAGCAAGTCCATTGACGAAACAGCTATATTTTTGTGTTATGATAACATATAAGAGAATTAGCTTGTACAATAGAAAGATTAGAGAATTCTAAACCGAAGTCCTAAATTTGTCGTAAATTAAAAATAAATTTCATATTAGTATTTTCACAATTAGAAGTAGATGGTACGAATTTTTGAGATTTCAAGGTCAAATTTTCAAATTTCTATAAGTTAACCTAAATAAAACATCAGCTTTTCCTTTTACTGAAAGAGAAGTAACAGTAATGTTTTTGGATGTGTAAGGGAGTATATCGAAACGGAAATAACTATAAGTAACGCTATCAGTCTGATTATATTGCGGCAACCAGCGCTTCATGTCTGTGTTATCGACAGGTTTTGTCCGATGATATTTCAGGTGAACTCGTGGAATATCGATGCAACTAGACCATGAGCAGGCGGCATTCAACTGTCGATGATTATGTAGTGGCGAAGGTGTTGTACTTTTATATTGCTTCTACAACTACAGGTATCAGTAGCCATGACAATTTCTTGTATAGATCTCTACGCATTTGTCAGATATCGTAACTGTGGTGTAAAATGGATCAAAGGATAGTAAATTAGTTTGTTGTATCATAACGTCACATCAGTAACATATGCATAGCCACAACAGTAATCTTCAAATACTGACATCTTGTAAAATAATTACATCGTGCAATGAAGCAACCATTCCCGCAAAAATTTCGCGTGATTTGAAGATCTTGATCCAAAATTACTTGCCTTTTTCTATTATTTAGTCCGATTAAATGGAATGAATGAAGTCCTAATAAATTGTGGGAGGTATTTTAAGGTATCAGGTCGCCCAGGTGTCATTAACATTCAAACATTCTGGGACAAACATTTTGCAAATAGCTCTGTGGCATCCAACTAATACTGTCTTCTGACTAATACTATCTACTAATATCGGTCATTAAAATTCGAAAGAGTTTAATCAAACATGAAATTATATAATTACGGACAATAAAGTTCGTCGAACAATGAATAGAAAATCTGCGGAAATGAAAAGTGCGAAGTGGTAACGGTGGATCATCACGTAGATGCTGTTTTAGTAAGGTGAATGACAAGTCAGTGTGACATTTTTGGTCCATAGCACCGTTCAACTCATCGCCATTAATCAAACTCTGAATGTATCGAAATTGAACCACTTTTATTAAACAGATTTCTTAAACAAAAAAACTATTGTCTCGTGATGGTATTACTTGTCAAATGCCTATTGTCTCAAACGAGAGAATGGGGTACACGCTACCACGCTATGCCGAATCTTTCCTTCACGTTGGTAATACTCCCTGATACTTTTTGATCATCGATCAAAAGAATCTGTAGTAAAATGTCTTCATCAAAATTTTGGATAAGTAAATGAGCAGGACGGACTATGACAGATTTCATGGGATAACTTCAACATTTGATGTTATTTTATTTTAGATGTCGCTTAATCCAAACAAAATCCCTTTCCAAAATGCACAAACCACAAACCAGTGACTATCGTTACAACTTTTAATTCAAATGGAATTTTTTTTCTTTTTACTGTAATGATATTGCGAGCAGTAAATATTTCAGTGATCGAAAAGAAAAATCATTACCAAAGCAGTTTCATCATAGAATTGCTTTATGTAATTTCATGGGCGATACTATGACAGCGATTAATTGGCCATTAATATGACTTGACATGAATTTAAAAGAGCCCTCATCAATTTTGATACAGATCAAATTTAAATCTATTAAATTGAAACTCTTCCAAAGCATGATAAGCTCACATTTCTTGTGCCAGAATGGATTATGTGTAGGAAATTAGGGAATTGATAAGAAACACAAAAAGCTACAATTTGAAGACTAGAATTTGAATTGGACTTCTAAGCGCTACATAAATTATGATTAATAATTGCCTGGCTCTGAAATTTCTATTCCCAATACCAAAAAGAAATTCCAAATTGACTATTCTATCTATCTATCATTATAATCACTAATTATCAGTTAATCTGAACTACTTCTAACTTACTCATTTGGCAAGTTATTTTTCCTAATACATTACATTACAACTTTGTAAAACACTGTTAAAATAACTAGCTATAGCTTATAAAAGCAGATGAGAAATAGCTTTCAGTATTAACTTGACTTAATTAACCTTCCAGGTTGTACACCATAAACAGTCATTTTCTTTTTCTCATTGATAACTTAATGATGCAAAAATTTTGCATTTCAAATCATTCTTTCACAGGAATAATTACACCAGAAATAGCAATACTTTGCTAACTTTGAAGTCGAAGACCATCAGTTATTTTGAAAAGATCTTTTTACTGAGAATAATCAACCAGGAAACTACAGAAATCACTGAAACAATGAATATTGAGAAAGTTAATTAGCTAAACAGATGAAAGATGGTGAAGAAAGAGAGGGAGAGAGAGAGAGAGAGAGAGAGATGGAGGAAAGACAAGTAAACAGACGGAAAATGACTTGACAATTCAATTTTTTACAAGTAATCCTAAACTTGGAAATGCGAACTATTCATTGCATTAGCAGAATAACAGACTCTTAACAATCAAACTACTTCGTATCATTCCTTTAAATTCGAAAGACTGCAAAAAAAGGAAAACAAAAGTGGATCATGCAAAAAATTAAGTTACAAAATCCTATTCAAAAGTAAAACAGTTGTTAAAATGGTCAGAGTTTAACTCACAATTAAAAATATGATGAACTTATGTAAAACTATCGACCGTTGTTATTGGTTAATCCCAGCAAAAACAAAGTTGAAACTAATGAAAAAGCAAATTTTAAAGGATCTCACAAGTCTTCTGAGCATTACCGACAAATCAAAATGTGCCGAATAAATTAAAATGCAAGCTCATTAATTCTAAATTGAAGTGGAAAAGCCCACAGAATGTAACAGGGAATTGCTCTTCGAGACATGATATATGAAATAATACCTCTTTTACCAGAGTTGCCAATCTTAATGACAGGGTAAGATGAAGGGATATATATCTTGCCGAGGTTCTAAAAATATTAGAACCTGAAAATTGATAAGGAATTACTCTAATTCATTCCTGTTATTATTGCTGCAACTATGATTACACATCTTTGTC